CGACTCGATGGCCGTGGGTTGAGTTTGCTTTTGGAGGGTTCGAAACACTCAGTTTCTTTAAAAGAAGATATTAGCACCATCCAATTTATTTAGGGAGAGGGGGGGTTACCACTTGACCTTGACCTTTGGGCCAAGATCCAGTGCCGTATCTGTTATCAGTTTACTATCAGATACAACCTTGACCTGTACAGACTTGGAGTGGACGGGAAACAGAGCGCTGCTACCCTGTGGGGACTGCGGCCAATGCCACAAATCAAGATGCAGATGAGCTGTTGGATGGAAAACCAATCTGCTCTTCAGACTTTCACCTAAGTCACAATAAAAAGTTTCACGTGCACTATGAGGGGGGGAGGGAGAGAAACAGGGAACTGTCTGCAATGATCGACGTATGTCCCACCCCCCCAGGGGGACAAACAGCAGATATGTGGGCGAAGGGAGACAGCGGTCGGTGTAAGACATGAAAATAATAATCATTTATAATTGATCATGGGTCCATGAGGGTGGGAGGGGAGGGGAGGAAGGAAGAAAGAGGAGCTAATACCAAGGGCTCAAGCAGAAAAAAAATGTTTTGAAAATGATGATAGCAAAAAAAAATAAGAAAATGATGATGGCAACATATGTACAAATGAGTCTGATACAATTGATGTATGGATTGTTATAAGAGCTGGAAGAGCCCCCAATAAAATGATTTAATAAAATAAATTTTAAGTTTCATGTATGTATGTGTGCATTTCATATATGTGTATATGCACACACACGTATATAGACATATATGTATGTGTGTGTATGCATACATATATGCACACAGATATCTGTGTGTATGTTCAGGCAGGACTCCTTTCAGGCCCTTAGCTAAATGAGATCATTCGGTGAATGGACATTTACTAAGCATTTCCAGACTATGTGCCAGGTTCAACACCAGGCCCGAAAGATAGAAGGATGAACAAGACTCGGTTCCTGCCCGCACTGAGCTCACAGTCTGCCCAGAAGAGAGGAGGAGGACAGGAAAAGAGCATTCAAAGGCCTTCCTTCACATGTGCACAGCACACCTGGGCAGGTAAGCACGATGACTTCCATTCGCCACGGCCCCTCACCGG